ATAATGTCGCTAATCACTAGAGAAGTGCAAATCAAAACCATGAACAGCTTATTAGAACTCTCCTATCTCCCCCATTGCTTCTCTTAGCAGTGTACTTCAATAAATCAGCCTTTGTTGTTCTACACTGTCTCAGTGAATTCTTTCACCACTGCTCTGGCCTATACCTTGATTCTTCCCTACAACACTACCCTACTTCTTCCTTCTAAAAACAAAGGGGGGGGGGAAACAACAAAATCCCCAAACCATGTGATATTGTGACCCACTTGCTAAATAGCTATCATCAAAAATGGCTAAAAAGAAAGAAAGAAAGAAAGAAGACCACAGGTAACAAATACTAGTGAGGATGTATGTAGAGAAAAAAGAATGCATGTGCACTGTGGCAGAAATATAGACAGGGGCAGGCTTTGGCCATATAAATGATATCTCTGTTAAGAGAGACTCTGCATCCCATTTTTTAACAGCATTATTTACAATACCCAAGATATAGTGTTCACTGATAGATGAGTGGATAATTTGTGACATATACGTGTGTGTATATATATGTACTACTCAGTCATAAAAAAGCCATTTGCAGTAACATAATTGGAATTTGAGGACATGTTAAGTTTCAGACAAAAAAAGGCTGAATAATATATTTCATTTACATGTACAATCTAAAAACCCCTAACTCAACGATTAAATCAGTTTAAGAGGGAGGAGTTGAAGAGGCGGTTATAGTTTGGGAGTTGGGTGATGGTCGTCAAAATGTACAAACACCACCAGGGAAATATCCTGGGGAGTTCTCAAATCTTATACTTTTAGTGTTTGACTAGAACAGACCAGGATGCCGCTTACCAGCATCCAACCATCTTAACTAGTAACTGGTCAGCTCCTAGGTTGGCTGGGCAAAAGGCTATCAAGCTCAAGCAGCCTCTGGAGTCCAGTGGCCTTTGAGACCTCAAGAATGCTGACATTCTCCCTGTATCAAGGCTTCTGATGCTCTCCCTGCAACCATCAGTCTGTTTTTAAACCACCCTGGAGTCTCTCCTAAGCTGAGGACTAAGTGGGAACAAAGTGTTTACTACTCTTATTGCTATCATTCTACCAACCATAAAAGGTCAACAGCTGGTCATTCTACCAGTCAATGTAGCTTCATAGATTCTTTAGCCATAGTTTTCATTGACGAGTACCTTCAGTATTTAAGGATGGGTGATACTTTATCAGGTAGGTACCCCCTTACCTATGAGAGGAAAACTATCTTTCAATATATTGCAATAACAGTATTAATAAAAATACAAATAGAAGCACAATGCTAATATCTACACTTGCTTTACGCAGAGATGATACTTTGCATTACAAGACAGTATTTTGTAAAATCCACTTGAGTTTACAAGTTAGATGCAACTACTTTCTAAAATTTGGTTTTGAGACAAGTCATGTTACCTGAGTCAGGTTGTAGAGTACAGAAAAATCTACTTTAATTCTTTTAGTCATGTTTCTCCTGATCTACTCTGGTCACTAACCTTTATTCAGGTCTGGATCAGAATAGCTAGTGGCATTGTAACATATTTAAAGAAAAACAGTTCCTATTAACTGATGGAATAAAGTTAATAAACTAAAACTTTTCTTATGTTAAGCTTCATGCACACTGCTCTAAACAAAGCAACAGATTCTACCATAAAGAACTCACTATGTACTTACATAACAATCTATATTAAAAGTGACTATAAGCATACAGTATTATAGGGGGGAAAACACTTCTGAGGCACCTGTGTCTTATCTGACAGTTTTAAATTACAAGCATAGAACTTAATGATTAATTGAGAGCACAAATTTTGCTTAAAGACAACTTAAAAATATTTCCAATTTAAAAAAAATTTAGAGGTCAGGAGACCAATTAGGCAATGTGAAGGAATCTGAGTATTCCACAATATTAATGAGTTTCAGATTGACCTGACATTGTATATACTGATAAGAAAGCAGCACAGAAATTTCCTTTTAATATCAATAGTTAGGGCCCTCTTTGGTAGCACAATAGGCTAAAGCACAGCACTATGATGCTACAGCAGATACTGCAGCATGAGTTTGATCCCCGGCCAGGGAGGTGACCCACATGGTGTGGGCAGACCTCTCCTGACCTGCCTACTGCTCCCCTTAGCAATGTATTTTAGTACATCTGCCTGCTCTGCTCTCACTCTCTGGTGAAGACTTTCACCCTCCCTCCCCCCAATCTCTGGCCTATTCTGTATGCATAAATAAATAAATCTTAAAAAAAAATCAATAGTTAACTAAGCTAAAACTTAATGTAGTAAGCAGTAAGAAACACATCCTTAATTTATCTTAAGACTTCAGGCTTCCTAACCTCTAGGTTAATGCTCCAATCTGCCAAAATAGTTCTACACTAATAAATATTAGTTTAAACCACTAAAATATTAAATGTAATATTTAAGAGTCTAGCCTAATAAATCAAAATCTTGGGACAAAAATGACTGGCCTAAAATTATATTTTACTTTATGTATTACAAACAAAACACCATACATATAGTCGATAGCATCTACTGATTACCAGACTTAGTATGTTTTAAGCAGCTTACATATATTCATCAGCTCAACTTAGTACTGCTAAGACTGGATACATACAAACTTTGTTAAGTTGTATGAAATTTCTCCTATATAGGTAGGAATGACTAGGATTAAACTCAATTTTTAACAGGAATTTCGTATTTCTCAGTATATTTCTACCTAGCAAATTTTGAATTGCTACATAGCAAAATGATTCACACTAAGGTTATATAGTTCTATGGATCTATAACATGTCTGGGAAATGTATTTCTGATAGCATAACTTGAATTTGTTAATAGTAAATTGCATTTAAAGGTCAACAAGACTTTGCAAAAGCGGACAGACTTCTATGTTTATAGTTGTACGAAAAGATAAGCAACCTAAAAAATAGAAAATAACCAACATATCAAAATTCCAATGACTTTTATCAAGGAAATTGAATAAACAATTATAAAATTTGGATGGAACCACAAAATACCAAAAACAACCCTGAGAGAAAATTTAAAAAATGGACTTGTCTTTAAACTAGACAGCAACACTAGTCAAAACTGGATGGCACAGGAACAAAAACAGACACTTAAGACACAAGGAATAGAACAGATAGCCCAGAGATAAAGCTACGTAAGTTTGGGTATTAATCTTTGACAACAGAGCTATGAATGGAGACAATGGAGAATATAATACCTCTTTAGTACATGGCACTGGGAAACAGATTGCTTCATGTAAAAAAAAAAAAAACAAAAAACAAATAAACAAAACTAGATTAATACTTCCCAGATAAAACTCTGGACATAGGTCTGAAACCATAAAATACTCAAAGCACAGATGATACAGATGATACACTTCATGATTATCTTCTGAAAAGTTATATTAGAGGATGCAACTGCAAAGGCAAGTGAAACAAAAGCAAACCCCAAAAAACTGGGCTACATTAAACTAGTTTTAGTGTTTCAAAAATAAACTATCACTAAAAAAGAAAGCAAACTGCAAGGAAAAAACTTGTACACTACACACAGCTGACAAGAGGTTAGTTTCTGAAATATACAAGTACTTATACAATTCAAAAAGGCAACGCAATAAAAAAATGGGCATAGACATTTTCCAGAATATATTCAGATGGCCTACAGACATGAAACCTCAACACCATTTATTATCAAAAACCTATCATCTCACTCCTGTGAGAATGGTCTAGTATCAAATGGAAACAAATGTTGCTGAGGATGTGGAGGAAAGGAACCTATCTATTGGTGGTGGGAATGCAAACTGGTGCAGTGTAAAATACAGATTTAATAAAAGTATAAATTCCATTATGACCCAGTAATACCTGCTAGGTATTTATCCCCCAAGTATATAAACTATAATATGAAAAGATGAAAGTGGTATTTGGAACAAAATGGATGAACCTCAAGATTACATTACGTAATCTGAGTCAGAAAGCGAACAGATACTGGCGTGATTTTACTCATCTGTGGATTATAAACCACCAAAACATACACACTGGCAAAATACAGCAAAAACAAATCTTGGACTCTGAAAATATTTACTGGTCACCTGAAGAAATGGGGAAAGTAGATAGGCAACTGGCAAGGTGGTGAGTAAAACATGCACTTATGGAGGAGTAAAAACGTAAACCCAAGTCATATGAGAACAAAGGTAATTTTTAAAAAGCTTTTGAGAAATTTTAAGCCATAGAACACTCAGGATTCCTACAAATAAGAATGACTCATTCATAATTTTGATAGACAATGTGAAAATCAGCACTTTCAATTATTATACTTAGTATTTTAAGAGGGTAAGTAGTAGGCTATCTTTTACAACTTTCTACCTTCAGAAAAAGTTTTTGTTTGAAAGTCAGAAAAACACTGAGATTAAGTCCTAGTATAAAACTTCAATTTTAAATTTCTTAACTTGCTCAGGCTGAAGTTCTTAAGGATAAAAGTCTTGAGAGAAAGCAGAATGTCTGGTATTTAATAGGTGTTCAGGTTATAGCTGGTGAATAAACTATCACCTCTGGGAAAGTCATTACAAGCTATTATTCAAAACAGTTTCATGTCGTTGAGCACAGTCTACCTGTATCCTCATAATATAAGCTGGCGATTCAAAAATAAATCAACTTGAACAACATTCAGTTCAAGTATATGAGGAAGCTGAGGGTGCCACTCATTTTTAAGGAAAAGTTTTATAAAACAAAGCAATACTTTGGCAATAAAAAAATCCCAAAACAATACAAAAATAGATTAACTAAATAAAACAAGTTTTTTGTGGCAGTGGGAGGGTTGGGGAACGGTAGGGTGGGGAGAGTTGCACATTATTTGAAGTTATCAAGTGTCAGAAAACTGTTAAATCTCACCAACTAAAAATTTCCACTATTCAATCATGACAAGATGCTCTGAATCAAAGTTTCAGGAATCCTCAGAAAAAGAGAAAATTAAGGCTAAAAAGATCAAACACCGTGTTCATCAAACCTTTCGGTCAATAGAGCCTTTATTAACATGCAAGTACCATTTGCAAGATATACAGTTTTTCCTAATCTTCATTTCAGTTCTACTTCAATGTTTTAAACATAAGGTTACTTCTGGACCTAACACATAAAGTAACCCACTAAATTGGTCAAAATTAAACTTTTATTTCTAGCTATCACCTTGACCTTTTAAGATCATCATTTAGGTTTATAATTGGCATAATCTGTTACGATAGAATATAGTTCTTGTACTTGATAATCTTCTATACTAAAATATGTGCCAGTATGTCTCAAGAATTTACTAAAATATATGCAAGTTACATTTATATTTGAATGCTTTCAGTGAATCAGAAAGTAGTTGGGTCTTTTAGGATGCAAAATTATTTTTCTAGGTCTTTGTTGTTTATGGTTTTTTCAGTTTCCAGAAAAACTGGTCATATTGAACCAGTCTAGAAGAACTAAGTTGAAGACTTAAGTTTTATAGACCCTATAATGACAGCATTGTTTGACCTCAGAGACAATAAACCCAATTTCAGTACTTCTTTTCCTATGCCTAAGCAAAGATGTTAAGTTTTTCAAAATCCTTTTAGCTTAGTATAAAAAGTAATTTGACATCCTTCTAAGTTTGATTTCAGTATAAGACACAGAGACTATGGGTGTCATATTTATCAGGACACATTTTAAATAATAGAAGATAATCTACATACTATGTATCAAAGGGTATTGTAAGATTTACACTGCATGTCTCCGCATGTTTTTCATACATATTTTATTTGGATGGAGGAAGACTAGGATAGTTCAGAAACGTCTAGCTTTTAAGACCTGGATAAAATTCATAGTGAGTTTTTTCAAACAAATTCAAATAATAAATGGAATCACAAAGACTATGTAAGAAGAATGGATATTGCAAAAGAAGCTTTAAAGTAGCTGAAGGTATGTACTTTGGGTTGGCCAAAATGCACAATGCACAGGAAATCAAAGGCATATTAGACCTTTGACCATCTGGCTACAGTTTAAAAAGTCACTACTCCAAAACTGTACCTTGTAATTTTCCAAAACTGCTTTTAAATAAAATTCTTAAGTTGTAGCATTAAACAAAAGATACATTTAAACAATACTGCAGTTTATCAAAAGACACATAAGAAATACTAACTCTATGTCTTTGACAGTTATAAAAAATCAATGTTTTGGCTAAGTTATAAACAAGTTTATAATGCAATTATTTGCATAACTAGTGATGCTAATGACAGCTATAAGATCAGGTTTTTAAAAAAAACACTAAAAACATAAAAATACATTGCCCCATTATTTACCTGTAGAACATGTTCGTGGATGCTTAATTTTCAGCATTTACTGTATCACCACTGCTCTAACTTTAAAAACCACATCCAAAGGATAAGGCAAAATCTCCTATGAATTGGCATATTTGTTTAATATCTCAATTTGTGAAAATGTCCTGAATTTGTTGATGTAGCAAACAAATCTCAACTCTGATTGCTATGCAAAAGAACAGAAGATAATCTGCTTTTCAATGAACTTTAAAGTTCAACTGCACATAGGCAACATGCTATATATGAAAAAATTACTAACTGAACTACAGGTATTAAATACTGAAAAAAAGTTAACAGTTTATTATAATTTATTTTATTTAACAATCTAGGAAGTTCGCAGCCATCAGCAGTTCCAGTGCAATTTCAGGTGCAATTGGGAATTCAGGAATCTCGGTGGAGCTGTTAGTGTAGCGAACCTTGTAGGTAAAATACATGCATACTTTTGATAGCACATGTGAAGGGATCTCTCTAAAATTGACTTCATTGGTTTCATTTTCAGCAAACTGACCTGTAAAAGAAAAGGAAAATGTTATGGACTGAACTGTGTTCTTTCAAACGTCACAAACTTAATTTCTAGTATCTAATACTTCAGAATGTGACTACATTTGGAGATAGCATCATTTCCCCCTCTTTGGATAAGTATTTCAAAAAGATGGAACACTATTTGCATGTCATCCTTGTGCAGATGTTAATCTTGGGATCATTCCAATCTTGTAGATGCACAGAAATAGTGTCTTTGAAGAGATAAGATAAAATGGGGCTATTAAAAGGCAGGCCTGGCCCTCCCTGGTGGCGCAGCGGGTTAAAGCACTGCACTAAGACGCTTAAACCACTTCTGCATGAGTTCGATTCCCGCCTGCCCCAGAGGAGATCCACATGGTGTGGCAGACCTCTCCTGACCCGC